CACCACTGCTAATACCAAACGTAAAGACGACCCCCCCCCCCGCCTTTAGCGCGTCCCATGAAGGGCGAGAAAGATTAACTATCAAAATAGTTTTTCCTCTTCAACACACCCCCCTCTCCTGGCGCCCAATACGACCCCCCTGCTATTGGGATTCGCCCGCAAAACGATGAGGCCATGGTGGTGTAGCGCTAAGGTTAGCGTTCAGACTTCGCGACGGCAGCGCTTCGGTCGCGCGTTCGACGCGATCGATGCAGTTGAAAGCATGCGCATCGATCGCGTCGAACGCGCGACTGAAGCGCTGGCCCGTCCGCGAAAGTCAGACCGCCTAAGAGTAAGCTAGATAGCTAGGATACTGGAGGGGTTTTTTCTTGACTGGAGAAGGCGTTCAAAAGGTGGAGGTGTAGGTGAATAGTTAAGAGATGGGAACTTCTCTACCAAATGACGAAGGGTATGGGACGTCAAATAGCGGATTTTCCTCTCTTGTCCTCTCCCTTCTCCATTCTTTCTCTTTATTTCTTCCTTCTTCTGCCCTTTCTTGTTGCCTTTCTGGCCTCATTTCCCCTCGCCTTCAAAATCCGTACGAGAATTCTGTTAACAGATGCGCTAGCCGGCACATCATTAGTTGCGAAATTTTAGTCGTAGGACCCCACCCTTTTTTAGGGGGTCGCTACAACTCCTCCTAGTTCCCTCCGCTGATCGAGCTGTGGATAGGAAGTGGTATTTAGTGCAGATGAAACAGGAAAAGCGGCAAAGAGTCAGTCAAACTATCTCAAAGACCAGGATTAGGGAAATGACGACCCCCCTCGCCCCTCACACGTACCTGAAAACAACAAAGAAATCAACTAAAAAAAATTTTTCGGCCCAAATACGACTCCCTCCTCTCTCCCAGCGACCAAATACGACCCTCCCCCTCTAGGGGAATCCGCAACGATGATGATCCATGTGCCCCATTACTCCAAAGAGAGAATTCACAAGTGTTTACCTGTGAAAACACGTTTTTACACTAACTTTCCGTCAACGTTCTCTTAGCTGTGTCCAGCAGAGCGAGCGGGAAGAGACCATATCTCATGGCTGTTAGTTCTTTCCAATTGGTCATGTTGTAATGTATCGATTGTGATGGGAGCCTTTTGTCTGCCATACTTTTGGCTACCTGTTGCTCTGAGTATTAGATTCGGTAGTGGTTGATGACGCATTTTAGTTGCGCAATACAGGCTTTAACGTACAAATTTTTGCAGATGACTCGTGAACTCTTCCGGGGAGATACCAATCTCTTGAACTTGAAGAAGCAATTCAACGATTGGTCATTTGCTGGAATTTTTTTTTACACGATACAGTGAGCGTTCAGTCCATAATCCGCATCGCTCGTTATGATGGCCTTGTGGATTTCTGGGCCTAAAGTTCTTATTGTTTTCGAATGTCATGTTTCACGTAGCACTCTGCCACGAATATCAAATCTCTGCCATCCACCTTGACCCTTCAATTCGGTTTTAAATTTCGGTCTCCATCATGTGCGAAGGGAACGGGTTCGCTGGAAAGTGATGGGAACCGGCTATGCTGTAGTGCTACACAAGTGCTGTCTCATACTCCGTCCGCGCCATCCTCACGGCAGTAACTTACCTCTTCCTCCGCTTTGCATTGGGACGGGGTTGGGGGGTACTGGTACTTGGGTGCCGTTTCCGCGTACTCCGCCAGCGCTATCCTCAAGGCGCAGCGCTCGCGTTGCTGCCAGATCCCAGAGCGAAATACGTGCTCAGCGGTGCCGAACAACTAGAACCTGATACGCGCTTGACTAGTAAGCATCTTTAGCGTGTGGCCAGCGCGAGCGCATCTATCCGATACACCAGCCTAGTTCCAGTTTCTTTCAACCCCCTTCCTGCCCCCTTTTTAACCAAAGAAACTGGTACGCTTTTACAACTACGGACGCGTTCACATACACCGCGATGAACAGGGGCCACGGAGGTAGCTATACAGTTTGTCTTTGACGTGGGCCGGCCGCTTGCTGTTTGCGCGAATGACGAATCGATGTGCCTGCCGGGAGAAGCGACAATTCGTCGCTTGCCCATTCGTCGCTCCTTCCGCCGTTTCGCCCATTCTCCATGTCGTATACGCACACTGCACACCCTAGCGATGGAGTGGGCGGTGCGACTTTACTGAACATGGCGTAGCGTGCGCTATTCGTGTGATATTTTTCATTGGCACAAGTGCTGCTCTACCTTTTGCCGAACAGAGTCATGGTTGCGACTGTTCTGAAGCCGCATTATCCGTCCAGAAGAGTAGCTGCCGCCACGTTCAAATGAAGTACGCAGCCACGGACTCTCCATCTCTGTGATATGGGGGTAGATCTAACCGCATCATCGCGGATGCACTGAACTCGCCAAGTTCGCGATCATAAGCGGAACACCTGTCACCTCTAAATGCTTGACCGCCGCAATAGCAGAATTCAAACTGGGCCGTGTTCATACAGGTGCTGGTTCTGCCTCCGGTTGCGTTCGCGCCATCCAATCGCCCGAGCTCCACGGTATCGGTTCGCAAAGTATAAACGCGCTCTCACGTCTCACAAGGAAGAGACGCATCAGTGAGGAATGCATAATTGTATACCCATCTACGCCAGTGTTCAGCGCAGAATGTACCTTCAGAAGTTTGCACGTCATTGTGTTATCCCATCTTCTTTTTAGGTTTACGATGTCAGCTCCTTCCTCAGTGAACATCCTGGAGGTTTTCAAGTGATCGCTGAACTCGCTGGAAAGGTATAATCTAACCTACTATGATTATGTTCTGTTTTTTGTACGGGCAATCTATTTTCCATCAGGATGCCACTGCTGCCTTCGAAGACATCGGACATTCAAAAGATGCCAAGGATATGGCCAAAGAATATCTCATAGGTTAGTTTTTGAATTCATTGCTGTAATCATAGTCAGATGAATGAGTTTATGGGTTCTAGGAAATGTGAAACCCAACACCTCAACATCAACAAAGTCCCATGACTCGAAGGAGGTAGGATGTTCAGTATCCTGTGCTCTTAAGAATGTAAAGGACGTGATTCTATCCCCAACTTGGTCTAATTTCCTCATTCCAACCACCATTGGAATAATCATATTTGTCCTTTACAAAGGAGCTGTTAAGATGTTTGAGTAAACAGTTTGTTTATGAGGTATACATTGAGTAAACAGTTTGTTATGAGGTATACGATGCCTTTTTTGTATTTTCCTATGAAACAATTTCCAAACTGTTGATATACTGTAGGCAACGTTCTATCCTGGTTCCATATTTTTTCAGTAGAGAAGTCGGCTGGTTGTTGTTCACTACGAGTTGCATCTATAATAAATTCATGTATGTTCAAGTGCTTCATAGAATGATGCCCCCAGTGCCGTTGATAATGTGAAATATCTACAGCTTATAAATTATTGTTTGTCTTTTTTTTTTTCTGTGACGAGGTGGTTTATCCATGGTAATTCTACCAAATTTTTTTCGATCAGTGAAAAATTACTTTCTTGTAATGGACCCTGTGACACTGCGGTCCCGACCCGGCATCTTTAAGTGATTGGTAGTGATCCCTGCTCTGTGGCACCTGAAGGGCACATTCAGCGATTAGGATCCTATAGAGCCGTGGGTGATGCCACAGCAGGTGGGTGGGGTTACTGCGCTGAACGACGCCTTCAGCACCCTTGTCACTTGTCACTTTGAAACTGCAAAGATGGCACAACATCTGCGATTGTGAACCGAACTACTTTTCTGAATGATATGTAGCTTTTAGCCCGGTCCGCAGTCGCACAGGTGTACCACTTTTGCGGCATGAATGTGACAAGGGCACTGAAAGCATCATTCACCGTAGTCATGTTACCCACTTATTGATGACTCCACCCCCCTACAGCTCTACTTTCGTATGGTAAAGGGTGAGGGCTTTATCTAGGGTTCTCCCATCCTGATCTGTCGGTGAATAGCTAGCATCTGACAGTTCATATTTGGACTCATTACCCACAGCCAGTCTGGAATGTGTCCCTATTTAATCACATTATTAGTGTTCGCACTGCACGGCATGTTAGCGCTTAGGATTTTACTACTGGGGCTCGTATTTCAGTACTCCCCACTAAACCCGGCGCTGTGATTGGATTTTGTTGTTGTTGTTAAGTGTTGTTCACAGTTCAAACTATTTACTTTCATGCTCCAATATACACTCGCCCGGATATGGGGAGGGCGTTCATTTTAAGGTGGTGGCGACTGCGCTGTTGGTGAGATATTGCCATTTTGGACAATTGTAATCATGTCTTTGTCAACGCAAGGCGGATGGCAGTGACTTCAAAGGAAAATATCCTGCCAAAAACGTCGTGTCCAAAGGTGGTACGCAGTCACGCCTTCCCTATTACGGGGATATGGAGTGTACACGTGGGTGATGTAGAAGCACTCAAAGGACAGGATTTGTTGGTGGAACTGACCGTTGGCTTGGAAAATCTGTGCACGAACCAGGTGAATTGGGTCGTACTCGGGTGGGTGGTGAGGGAGGGGGAGATGGGAGATCCTGACCACCATTCACTTCCTGACCAGGCACCTTCTGACTCGGAGGGCGTTCCAAACTGCATCTTGATTCACTCAGTGCGCGAACAATCCAACGAAGATCTACGCTTTCTCTCTCATAGAAATGGAACGTGTGGGCAAGTACTGTCGAGCGCTCTGGTCATTCAGTTTCCGATTCGAAAGAAGTGCGTTTTCTTCAGGTGCCGGTCGGGAGATCCGCGGTGCGGTGACGCGGCAGCGTTGTTTATTGCGCGGAGTGTGCACCATTCGCATCAAGACCTAAAACATCAAACGTGGAAGTGATGCTTCATTTTGAGTGCAGCTCTTGCAATGATCGGGGAAATATGAGCGCTCGCCGCAAAATGGATCTGTCTACCGGCGCCCTTTTTCTTTGTGTAGACCTGTTTGATTGTGGAAAATTTCATTATAGGGTAAGAAAAATTTTGTCCGAGTTGGACGAATCCGATGAAAATGCCCAGGCACTAGAGATGTTTTGGAGAGCTTCGTATTACGAACCACTTAATAAGCTGAGGAAACAAAAGGTACTTTTGTCATTCAGTTCTCGAATTTTCGGTAAGATTATTTAACTTTGTAAACTTTCACCTGTGGCAGCTTAAGTCCGTTGGGAGTAGTCCATGAGAGACTGGCTTTCGTCAGATTGCTCTTATGGCATAATTTTCCCAAGACGGTCGCGATACGTCCGCTTTATACGCGGAAACTGATAGCATGCGAATCTAAAACTAGGCCTCGTCTTTCAAGAAAAACTTACAAACTTACTACATAAAGAATTATGCAACAGTCTCTGCTATGAGCAGGAAGTTGGAATTCTAGAACGGCCTGTCCATGGAGTAGCACCACAATGTCTTTCTTGTAGCTGTCTTGGCCGACTGGACCAAGTCGCAGCATCGCTGTATAGTGGCGACCGTGATGTAAGGACTGGACTCAATTCCCAGTTCGTTTCGGTTTAACGTTTGGAAAACAGAAACCGATCTTCTTGAGTGGAGGCGCTATATACGGTGAAGTTATGGGCGAAAAGGGTTAATCACTTAGCTTACTTTATTGGCGCCCTCCTCATGATCGCCTCAAAGTGCACTCATACTTCGCAACTCGAGTCATTCAGTCGCGCGACTGCGTGTGGTCCCGCTCTATCGCTCCATCGCCAATCGTGGGGTCGCTGTAATTAGAATAGGTGGATGAAATTTTGCAACTCTCGCTTTCAAGCTTCGCAGCGGTCCAACGAACAGAAGTGAAGCGCAGGCAGATTCACTCTTGTGACTGACTCACTGTAGTCGCGAAGTATGAACGCGTCCTCAGGAAGGGGGAAAACTGATCAGGAAAGGCAATGGTGTACCGTCTCCGCCCATGCGGTTAGCGTGGACTGATGTGTCTTCGATCCGTCACTATTTAATTCTTGTTGCTTTCTATTACATTCAACCAACTGTTATGCAACTTAACTTTCACCCAAAATTCGGGATGATTTTGTTTCGTCAGCTTCTGGTTTGGGACCAGCAAGAGATCGATACGGCAGTTGATCATGACTGTTATTGGACCGGTTGTTGGCGCAGTCCTGCGGTGGGGGCGCCCAGTGGCTTCATTGGAGTTAACAAGTCTCATCAAAGTGAACTTCGTAGATATATACGATTCGAAAAAAGTACTGGCGAAAGTGAAAGATGCTCCCTGCAAGACACCCAGAGGGCACACGATTTCAGAATGTTGACGATAATTGGTTCAATGTGATGGTGTCGGTTTTCTGTGGCGAATTGCAGTGCATGCTAGCTGAAAGTCCTCGACACGCCGCTATGTACAACCTATACCTGGGAGATCTGCATAGGTATGCATCACTTTTAAACTCCACTTGACAGGATAGGTTTATTGCTCCTAATTACAGTACCTAACAATACCGTCCAGTCATCCTTTCTACATGTGCTACTTCGGTGCGTGCGTAGACATGGACTGCCGGATGTTGGTGCAAGCCTCTCAATCAGCTTGCTTTAAACGAAACACCTGTAAATTCTGTCAGGTCGGTTGTACAGTACATCTCAGCTTGCCATAGGTTGTCTTGGAATGGATAGCAGATTGAATCGTTAATTCGATTGACGTGTTTGATTTGGGGCTTGTTCTTACTTGCGGCTAGTTCGCTCGGGGCCATTGCCAGAAAGCCTGGGATAACCTTGAACAAGACGGTTCGAACAAAAGTGAGCGGCCCAGATTTCCTCACTCTTACAATATCTGTTCCATCATCCATCCTTGCTCTCTTATAGTGAAGTTTTGTTTGTATAATTACGTCTTCAATAGTAACAACAAACAAAGAGCTTTTTGGCGCCATACAGGGGAGGGGGGGCCAAAAAAAAGTCATTTCGGCCGAGCCACATATCAACGAAGTTTTCGCAGCCCAGACAGGGGAAGTGGATATGAAGTACCAGAGTGGAAGATACCCAAGATCTTCCTCTATAAGCTGGAGCAGGCTGCCCAATCGCCTTCATGTACGCCAAAATATGAAGTCATCTCCAGTCGCGGCCTGACTGGAGAACACCTTTGGAATTCACGTCGCCTCCAAACAGCTGCGAAACTTCTTGAATGAAGTCATCCACAGATAGCTACCTGGAGGTCAGTACTCTTGATCTGCAAGACCTCCCACATCGAGCAGCTACGGCAACGTCGCTACGGTCTAGGACATCATCTTCACCGTATTCGCCGAGGCGCGAGTTGATGGTATGGACCGGGGTACCTGGAAAGGGGAAGACCGATATTTTCTTTGTAGACCCCGACTGAAGGTGAGCGCTGGCGGTTACATCAAGTAACTCGAGAAGAATATCCTCCCTACATGTGGTCGCCCGTACCTTCTTGGAGGCCTT